CATGCCACAAGCATTTTTTAGCGTTTAAAGCCCAACATAGGGGGGCTAGGGCCCACTGTCAGAGCAGCTGTCAGCCACCATCATGAGCCCAATGGCTCTATTTTTAATCTTACAGCTAGTTTCATTGGACCATTGGTTGATCCAACGGTCCATATTCAAATTATTTTTATAAAAAAATCCATTGAATCCAACGACTGAGATCGAATATAATCAAATCTAATACTTCTACAAAAGGGGATATTACTGGTGGTGTAAAACCGAGAAGAAACACCAATTACTGTCGGATTTTTGGTAAAAATCCGACATTAAATCGTGCAATGTTGGATAGACAAACCGACACCAATACTACCGTCACCAAAAGGGTAATGACATCGCTTAACCCCCTTAATTCGCCACCAAGAAGCAAAGTAATATAAAATAAAAAAGAGCAACAACGTCAATTAAAAGTGACATCTAAACTTACGTCAGTTAGAAGCGACATTGAATTCTAACATGATGGCGGTTCTAACCGACATCAAGCAACAATTAAAGAATTAAAATATCAAACCTGCTGTCGTCCATAAGCGACACCAAATATATTAATAATATAAAAAAATCTATGTCAGTTTTTGATTAATAATAATTAAAAAAATTGTATAAAAATAATTCCCACCATATCCAAATGAAAAAATAAACAATTTTAAGCAAACTTCATATTAAAAATAAAATTTCTACCAACTTTTTATTGAATTTAAAATTAACTACCATTCTTAAAAATGTACAACCCATACAAATTTTTTTCGAACTCTTGCAAAAGATTTTGAACCGGTTGTGTGGTTCATAGTTTTCAACTTCCGGTTATGCTTATTTTTTTCGGCAATCTCCTGAAAAATAAAAGAATTTATTAGACAAATTTCAAGGTATAATAAAAGAAATCACGAAACGTTTACCTTTGTTTTTTCTTTATTCCAGTATGCTACTATCAGAATATTTCTTTAATCTCTAACTCTTTGCCGCTGCATGTTTCCAAAACGCACTAGAATTATCACTAATGCATTTTCCAGATGAATCAAATGAACAAGGTTGTTCTTTCCAATTCGGAATTGAGGGTCCGTGTCTCCGTTGAGTTGATCTTTATAAATACAGAAAAACAATTAAAAACCAAGAAGCAAAAATAAATTTTCATTTTAAGCATAAAACTAGTTAGAATACAAAACAAAAACTAAAATTAATAATCATAATAATTTAAAAATGAACCACCTTCGAGCTCTTCCTCTTCAAATTGGAGTTCCTCAGAATGTTGATCTTCAAATGGGGAAGGAGAAGAGGAAAAACTGAAAAGGGGAAGAAAGGGATGCACAGATGAAATGGGGAAGGAGAAGAAGAAAGATTGAAATTGGGGGAGAAATGAAAGCATGGATGAAATGGGAAAGAGAGGGGTTTAAATATGGGTACTTAGTTTGCGTCGGTTTAAACCGATATTGATTGACTGATGTCGAATTAAAAGTACATGGTGTCGAATTAAATGCACATAGCGTCGGTTAAAACCGACGCAAACTTGACACACATTCTAACACTCTTTATTGAAAATACGGCGTCGATTTAAATTAAAGTTGGTGTCGGTCTTAACCGACACCAACTTCTGACACACTTTTTGAAATTCACATAGCGTCGGTTTAATGAAACTCGCATCGAATTAAAAGATGATAGTGTCGGTTAAAACCGACACTAAATCTCTCCATCCATTTCCTCGTGCAAAATAAGTGGGAAATTTCCCACTGAATATTTCAAATTAACTCAAAGAAAAAAAATAACCAGCTCTTTGTTTTTGTATTATCTCATATAACATTTTAAGATTTTAATAAATAAAATTTAACTTGAATAAAATGTAATAGAAAACAGAAATATAATTCATTATAAAATATCATCACATACTAATTGAAACATAGTTTAATTAATACTTAAAATTCATAAAATAATTAATATATTTATTCCAAGTCATCATCTGTCAGGTCGTCGTCGGTATTGGCATAATTAAGTTATTAACGAACTCAGTAGGCAACAGTAATGATTCATGAAAAGGAGTCTCTTCCACGCCAACCCTTGTATGGAAATTTTCATTATCAAGAATCATCCAAAATATTAATTTTATAATTTTATAACCCTAAAAAATACTATAATAATTATTTATATTAATTTAACTATTTTATACCCCTAAAAACTATAATTATATATATATATATATATTAAATTAAATTGTAAAAATTGGTGACCATTGGATTGGCTTATATATACATACCATTCAAATTCTTAAGTGTTATACGTACAAAATAAATAAATTTAAATTTACTTAATAAATATATATATACACCATTGAACTTGATGGGATACGAACTCTACGAAACTAATTTCAAAGATTGAACTATCAAACTTGTTTGTATATGCCTCGAGATCACATCAACAAAAAATTGCAATAAACAAACATTCAGAGATCAAGTAACGGGACAAAACTTTTCGACAGTTATAAAACGAAAAATCACGATTTAACGATTATTTTAACTCTAATTTTGATTATTTTTTATAGCTACACTTCTTGATCCTGTATGAATACAATGAGTGAATTCGATCTTCAATTTAAAATATTTACATCAGTGGATACCACAAAATCTTATGTTATACTTAATGAAAGTATAAATAAACTCTAAGTGTTAGTGAATCTATCGTTTTGATTGGATACGCATCCTACGAAACTAATTTCAAAGATCCAAATTTCAAACTTGTTTGTATATGCTTCAAGATCGCATATGCCAAAAAAAAAAAAAACAAACATTCAAAGATCAAGTAACGGGACAAAACTTTTCGACGGTTATAAACGAAAAAATCACGATTTAACGGTTATTTTAACTCTGATTTTGATGATTTTTTACAACTACACTCCTTGACCCTATATGAATACAATGAATGACTTCGATTTTTAATTTAAAATATTTACACTAGTGGATACCACACAAATCTTATGTTATACTTAATGAAAGTATAAATAAACTCTAAGTGTTAGTGAATCTATCGTTTTGATGGGATACTCATTCTACGAAACTAATTTCAACAATCCAATCGTCAAACTTGTTTATGTATGCTTTGAGATCGCATACGCCAAAAATCGCAAAAAACAAACATTCAGAGATCAAGTAACGGGACAAAACTTTTCAACGGTTATCAACGAAAAATCATGATTTAACGGTGATTTTAACTTCGATTTTGATGATTTTTTACAGCTACACTCGTTGACCCTATATGAATAAAATGAATGAGCTTGATTTTCAATTTAAAATATTTACACTAGTTTCTTATGTTATACTGAAAGTATAAATAAACTCTAAGTGTTAGTGAATCTATCGTTTTGATGGGATACATATTCTACGAAACTAATTTCAACGATCCAACCGTCAAACTTGTTTATATATGGTTCGAGATCGCATATGCCAAAAATTGAAAAAAAACAAACATTCAGAGATCAAGTAACGAGACAAAACTTTTTTTACAATTATAAACGAAAAATCATGATTTAACGGTTATTTTAACTTTGATTTTGATGATTTTTTTACAGCTACACTCCTTGATCCTATATGAATACAATGAACTAATTTGATCATCAATTTAAAATATTTACAGAAGTGGATACCACAAAATCTTATGTTATGATGATCAATAAAAATTGAGGATTTTGTAAAAGGAACAACATGCAAGCTTTGAGTTCCATTGGCAAGGTTTAAACTTTTGAGAAATGCTTCACAACCTTGAAAACAAAAAATCTTTCATTTTGCATATCCGTGCACATTTTGTAATAGACTAGTAGTGTATGGATGATTGTTTATTAGGCTCTTATTTTCGAGTGTAGATGAAGTACTTAAACGACAAACATGTTTTAATGTTTTGAAGTAATATTTATGTGGCAATGTGTAGTATGTGCAAATTTAAGAAAAAAAAAAATTTTCTTAATGAGTCATAACGGGTCGGGTCGGATCACTTTACCCAACCTGTGAAGGACCCGTTAAGATAATGGATGAGACACGACATGACCTATTAAGATAACAGTTGTTACACAAAAACAACAGACACGACTCGTTTGCCAGGCCTAGTTGCGTGCCACCTCATAAACTCATCCTTAAGAAAGATGCAAGAGAGGAAAAAGAAAACATGGGGAAGAGTATATAAAGACCATCAATCTGTCGCTTACAACCGACACCAGGTTTCAAAATATTAAAAAACACTAAAATCTATGTTGCTCAGAATTGACGCAGGCTTTAAAATATTTAAAAACAATAATTAATGTTGGCTAGAAGCGACACCAATACTTTATGTCGCTTAAAAACAATACTATTTTTTTTTAAGCGACACCATTATTTAAAAATTATTAAAATGTATGTCGGTTATAATCGACATTAAATGTTTATGTCGGTTAAAAGCGACATAAACAGTTTATGACGCTTACAGGCAACAGTAAATTTGACGTCATGTTCAGTAGGTGTCGCAAATGTCTTATCCGCCACTATATTATATTAAAGCGACATCACCCAGTGACACGATAAGTCCATTTTGTAGTAGTGTAATGGTAAAAAAAAAAAAAAGATTTAACAGCCACAAATTAAATCTAACGGCTAAAACGATTAAAAAATTATTTAAATAAAAATTCATTCAAAAACTCTATAAAATTATTGAATCTTCAATATTTATTGGAATTTAAATATTTTTAGATTAAAATATTCACAAAATTAAATTAAGATAGTATACATAATTTTTTTTTCAAATTTACTTTGGAAAAATAAATTAGTCTAAATTTATTGTTTAATAACCTTGAGTTAAAAAATTTAAGCCAAAAAAGTTGGAGTATAAAAGTTATTTCTGAGTTAAAACTTAAATTTTATAGACTAAAAATTTTAGATTTTACTCCAAGGATTGGAGATGGTCTTAGTATATTAATTTCCAGTCTATTTCCTTCATTCACGCCGCTCACTTGCAATTTCACACTCTCTCCTCTCTCTTACTCAAACAAAACACCATATCACTATCCATTCATCCATCAATCCTTCTCAAATTTTCTTTCCTCTCTTAACAAAATGTCAAAATTTTCTTTCCAACCAAACACGTCCAAGAAAACCAAAATCTCTAGTCTTCTCGCTGACTTGTTCAGTCTTTGTTTCTGCATTTTGTCACACCCACTTTACGTCTCCTACTTCATTTTTTTCTCACCGTACCTCCTCAAGCTCCTTTCTTTTCTATCTCCTCTCTTTGTCACCACAGCTCTTCTTGTGTTGGCTTATCTCACTGTCCAAAACGATGTTGCTAATTCCGATTCGTCGAAATTTAAACTGGGTTGTCTTGTCACCGCCTACCAAACTGTTTTGGAAGGGTTGCAGAAGTCTAAAGTTGATGATAGTGATGGTGGTGATGGTGGTGATCGTGATCATGATCACGAAGAATTTCGGTCTTCTGTGGAGCTCGAAGCCTATAAAATCGTGTTTGACACACCGACGTTCGAATGCAACGAGACCCCAGTAGAAGAAAATTGCTCACAAGTCTTTGAAGCACAAGTTGAAGATGTGTCAAGTCATGAAGCTATTGGTGCTTCTGATGTTTTTGATGCTGCAAGTGATGTTTTCGAAGACAAGTTCGAAATCCCAGCTGAGGCATTCGTACAAGAAGAAGAGAATTGGTCAGAAAACTTGTGCACAAAGGAAGAGGAAGAAGAAGTGATCAGGCCACCACCAAGCACAGAATCCAAGAAAGTTGAAGAACAAGAAGGAAAAGAAAAGAGGTCTGTGAGAAGAAGAGAATCCAAGGATTATTTGGGTGATGGAGGTGAGTTAAATTCCAAACTATCCATGGTAAATTCTCAAACCCTAGGAGCAAATCTTGGGGAATCCAGGTTAAATCCCCAAACCCTAGGATCAAATGTTGGAGATTGTTACTTCAACACGAGTCCAAATCTTGGAAGTTTTGGATCAATGAGGAAAGAGAAGGAGTGGAGGAGGACACTGGCATGCAAGCTTTTTGAGGAAAGGCATCAAAGTATGGATGGAGGAGAAGGAGGAGAGGGGATGGACATGCTTTGGGAGACATATGATGAGACAGAATCATTAAAAGTGGTGAAAGGTAAAAAAAGCAAGTCAAAGAAGGGGAAAAATGGGAAAGTTGAGAGCCATGATGAAGAGGAAGAGGGAGAGTTTGATGGGCAGTTGTGCTGCTTGCAAGCACTGAAACTCTCAGCTGGGAAGATGAATTTGGGAATGGGGAGGCCTAATCTGGTCAAGTTTTCCAAGGCCCTAAAAGGGTTTGGATGGTTGCACCATGTCACCAAGCATGGCAAGAAGGGGCATCACTGAACCAAGTAGCCTAGAACGGTGTTGCATTCATCTCTCTTGTTTTTAAGTTCGTATCTCCCTTCTAACTCATAAATTAGAGCAGTTTAGAATATATGTCATCTTATAAAAAAGAAAAGTTAGATTTTTGGAGTTACTTTGGTTAATGCTAAATTCAAGTGGTAATTTTTGTGTGTACATGGGTAGGAGTATCACAAGTAAATATGTTTTGTGTGTTCATGATCTAATGCTTAAATTAACTATAAAGTAAGTTTGTTCCTCTGTTTCCATCATCTCTTTCTCATCTAATCCTTTTTTATCAAGTTTTCTAGTTACCAATTTATTTTCTATATAAAGTTTCTTAAGAAGTCAAGTCATTCCCCCACACCTTTATCGAGTGGTTTTTATTTTAATGGCTTGGATCCATCATTTATCATTGTGCATACATCTAGCACATATAGTGAGTGCATAGAGGTGCTTTGATATTTTTCTTGATAAAAAGAGGAAGGCCCCTCATGGTAAAGTCCTTGGTTCTCTAATAATGGAGTTAGGAGGATGCTCTTTTAATGAATGCTCTTTTAATGATGGAGTTCCCTTGGGTTATAAAATGTCACAAGATATTTGTTATTGTTTACAATGTATATAAGGTAGTGTTATCCACATACTCGTTTTTACTCTAACACACCTTCTTAATTTTCAACCATCAGATTAAATGAATTGAAGAAGATCAATGACTGAAAAGTAACAAGGTGTGTGAAAAGTAGAAATGAGAGTGCAAATAACACTATCCGATATACAACAAGGTAGGATTTGTGCACCCGGACTGATATGGTACGAAGAAATTCTTTAGTTTGATGGACCACATCAGCCATCCGGCCACACACATAAGGAAAGAAATTCTTGTATTACATAGAAATGTCAAAGACAACAAAGGAAATCTCATGTTTGTGTGTACGACGGACCTATGCGAGACTCGTACCAATGAATTTTTTCATGGTATGAATGTGACAACGTGTCTGATCCCCTTCAAGATTGCCACTTGTATCCTAGCTTGTACTCTGATGTTGTTCTCATGGTGAGTCTATTAAGACAAAGACAATGACCAATTAACCACTTAGAGTTGTGAATGACCAAGCATCATAACATATAAGATCTTCACCAGTGAAAGATAATCATCAACACGGCAAATAAATGTAGTTCATATTATTGTTGTTGCAATACAAAAATATTAAATGCCACAAGTTGTGATGATTTTGTAGTATTATTAATTCACATCAAATAAGTAATATAACATGCACAAATTGAATACTACATGATGATATAGCGGTTGATATGAATTTTTTTATACAATTGCTGGCCCTAAACATTATAAAGCCTACATGGCGTGCAGACTGAATAATTATGAGTTAACTACGTTAATTTCGTGAATACAGATGTGCCAACTCGCGACCGAACTCGGTCGGGTGAGTTGAACAAATGTGATGGTGGTGTCGAATGTGCTACTGTCTTCTGTACCTAAGTGTCTACGGTCGAGGAAGGAACACCTCTCGGCCTAGGATTCTAGAACATGATGACAAGGTTGTTTTTCAATGTGAAGTTCGATAAATGGGTCGGCCTTCAATGTGCTGAACACGAAGTGACCTAGTATAACACCTCACTTCATTGGGAAGCTAATGAAATGACCCATTTGGGTGAAAGAATTGAAAACTATTCATCTGCTTAGACTTGGATAGATAACCAACCAATCAGAAGCAGTGATGTTTACTTGTCGAAACTGAAGATACTCCTAAATCGCCTGATTCTATGACTCCAGTGCTACTTACTTATCCAAACTGAAGATGTCGCCGGTTGTCAACACAATGCTATTTACTTATCCAAACATCCAAACTGAAGAGAGGGTTAGGATGGTTAGTATTTTCTCATATTGTGAGAAGGATTTCGCATAGAGCAGGGGTTTTGGCCTAGCTAAACCTCCTATATTTATAGGAACAAATTTCCTTGATGCCTAAGTCTGCCAAGTTGTAAAATTCTAATAATATTTCAATTCTTCAACATATTCTTAATATATTCGGAATTATTCTCGGCCGAGACTCTATCGGCGGGCGTTAAGTCTTCGCCATCTTAGACTAGGACTCTAAACCTAAATTGATTATGCAATTAATTGAACATTTATCCAAAAATTAATCATGATCCTGAATATTTCTCTCATCCAACAATTTATAGTATATGAATTGAGTGGATGCAAAATCAAATCCAAACAACATAGCAATTTTTGTTCAATGACTAGTGATTACTAGTGTTTTTTTGGTCAAATGACTAGTGATTACTTGTTAATTGACTATGTTTTCTTTTCTCTTTAGCAATAACTGAGGTTAATTAACAATTAATTAAACTGATTACTGTGTGGCAGATTAATAAAGGAAGGTAGAAAATTAGGAAAATTCCACTTGAGAGATAATGCGTAGTTAACTAATTAATAAACACCCAAATCCCACTAACCAACAAGTGAAAAAGTCAAAATCACAGGAGTTACATGGGCCCCACATGATTAGATTTTAATAAGCACCGCCAAGTCGCACTCGCCGATCCGCGTTTTACAGTTAATAATTAACAGAAACCAAAAAAAATAAATCAAAAATAAAAAATTAATGTCAGACCCCGTGTCCGACACTGAGTCTGAGTGAGACTCTCACAGAGAAGCCGCAGATCGAAAAATGGCGAACCTTCGATTCTCCGGCAGCAGTAGAGGAGCAGCCGCGCGGAGCTCCGTCGTGCCGTTCAGAGTGCTTGCCATGGCCATTGCAGTCGCCGTTGTCTTCGTCTTCTCACTCTCCTTTGTCTTCACTTCCCGAACCGACTCCTCCGATCTCGGCGACTCGGTAAGTGTATCTCTACTACTCATCATTCGCACTTTCACTGCTTCTCTGCTTCATTGGAGTTTTAAGTTCCCGATTTTTGTTTCCGGATCCAATCGTTTCGATTTTCGGTTTTCGTTCCCGAGCTGGAACTGGATTAGTACCATAATTTTTATTTAAATCACAGCAATGTTTGATGTATTGATGGTAATTGTGAATTAGGGTTTCGATTCCGGTTCATTTGGTGGATTTGGATCGACGAGAAGGACCGTGCTGGCTCTGAAATCGGATCCACTGAAACCCCGGCTGGACCAGATCCGGAAGCAGGCGGATGATCATCGGACCCTAGCCCTAGCGTACGCGAGCTATGCGCGGAAGCTGAAGCTCGAGAACTCGAAGCTGGTTCGGGTCTTCGCCGATCTCTCACGAAACTACTCGGATCTCATGAACAAGCCCGCCTATCGCGCTCTGTTCGAATCCGACGCTCTCAACATCGACGAATCGGTGTTGCGGCAGTTCGAGAAGGAAGTGAAGGAGCGAATCAAAGTAACTAGACAAATAATTGCTGAAGCGAAAGAGTCTTTTGATAACCAGCTCAAGATTCAGAAGCTGAAGGACACCATTTTCCAAGTGAACGAGCAGCTGACGAAGGCTAAGAAGCAAGGGGCTTTCTCGAGCTTGATTGCCGCGAAATCGATCCCCAAGAGCTTGCATTGTGTGGCAATGCGGCTAATGGAGGAGCGAATTGCGCATCCGGAGAAGTACACTGATGAAGGGAAGCCAATCCCGCCGGAAATTGAGGATCCCAATCTATATCATTATGCTATATTTTCGGATAATGTGATTGCAGCATCAGTGGTGGTGAATTCGGCAGTGAAGAATGCCAAGGAGCCATGGAAACATGTGTTCCATGTCGTGACTGATAAGATGAACCTCGGAGCAATGCAGGTTATGTTTAAGAGCAAGGACTATAATGGGTCACATGTTGAAGTGAAGGCTGTGGAGGATTACAAGTTTTTGAATTCTTCATATGTGCCGGTGCTAAAGCAATTAGAGAATGCGAAGTTGCAGTCATTTTACTTTGAAAATAAGCTCGAGAATGCAACCAAAGACGCAACAAACATGAAGTTCAGGAACCCCAAGTATTTGTCCATATTGAACCATTTGAGGTTTTATTTGCCGGAAATGTACCCAAAATTGCACAGGATTCTATTCTTGGATGACGATATAGTGGTTCAGAAGGATTTAACTGGTCTGTGGAGGATTGATATGGATGGGAAGGTGAATGGGGCGGTTGAGACATGTTTTGGGTCATTTCATCGGTACGCACAGTATATGAATTTCTCACATCCTTTGATTAAGGAGAAGTTTAATCCCAAGGCATGCGCGTGGGCTTATGGAATGAACTTCTTTGATTTGGATGCTTGGAGAAAGCAAAATTGTACTGCTGAGTATCATTACTGGCAAAATCTGGTAAGAGATTACTTTTCTTTTGGTCAAATTTGTGTCTACAACTTTTACATTTTGAAATCAATATTGTGGTATCTGATATTGTATATATGCAGATCTTGTAAAAACTGTTTGATTGTGCATACTGTGCATTTTGTAGTTTTTGTTGTTTCGAATCTGCAGCTTTTAGTTGCCGTAGTGGTATCTTTAGGGGATCCATGGTAAAGAATGTACCTCCAGCTGCAGTGAAAGGAGAAGGGAAATGTACTCATAATGCTTTTTAGATGCTATCATGTCATTCTTATGAATTATTCTGTTTTGCGATATCTCCATTAATTGTGTGTGTTTTTTCCTATCTATTAAGTAGCACTGACTAGGGATGATGATCTCATTGCAGAACGAGAACCGTAGTCTGTGGAAATTGGGGACACTTCCCCCAGGTTTAATTACATTTTACTCGACAACAAAGCCACTAGACAAGTCATGGCACGTTCTGGGACTTGGCTATAATCCGAGCATCAGCATGGACGAGATTCGCAATGCTGCAGTGGTGCACTTCAACGGGAATATGAAGCCTTGGCTTGATATTGCCATGAGCCAGTTCAAGCCACTCTGGGAAAAACACGTCGATTATGACATGGAGTTTGTTCAGGCCTGCAATTTTGGTCTCTAAATGAATCGGGTTTGTTGAAGCTCTAGTTGGAGGATCTGCCAATGCTAGTCCTACAGCTCGTAAGCTATCCCTCTTTTGGATTCCATTGTTGCTCGTTGCACGTTTACTAATTATTCATAGTATAGGGACGATATGCATCAATCTAAGTGTAGCATACCTGTTTTCCATGTTAATCTAGGTCTTCTTTTTATTGTTTCATACAACTTAAGTTCACTTGGAAGATGATAATTACTGAAGTTGGTGGACATTTACGGTAAACTGCAAAATACGTCGCTTGTTGTTCGACCATTTCTTGTCATATCATTGTGACATTCGTCTATTAAACGAAGTATCCGAAAATTATATTTATCTTCATCGGCTATATGATGTCTCGTCTAACAATGGCATAATTGCTACTTTGTCATAACACTGCAGGTGCGGCTACTACTTACTACTAAATGCTTACCAATTTCCCCAAATTTAGTGAAATCATAAGAATCTCCTGGTCTGGATTACCAGTGTGTACAAATTGTTAAAATTGTTTAGCTTTATGTGAATAGAAATCCCTTACATTTCTTTTCGGCACGAGACTGGAGACAAATTCTCGTCGACACTGGAAACGAATTATCGCCGAGGAAAGTCGTCGGAATCGTTCATCTGATTTTGATGCTCAAACGTTTGCTACCTGGAGGGATTTATTATGCAAAAAGCCTGAAAGTGCAGTCATACAAACGAAAAAAATTTGGCCCATATATAAGCTTTAAAGAAAACTGCAAACTCAAAGTTGGCCGATGTACAGGCTTAACCACCATCGGATCCACCGCCACCACCTTCCTGATTCGCCACCGACAAGTCAAGGCATAGTTACGATTCTCCACCAACGGATCAAACCAGAGAATGCGAAATGGAAATAGGTGTGTTCAGCATCCTGTTATCCGAGTAGAACCCAAGAAGAGAACGTACGAAGAAGCGGCAAACCCTCCATATAAATTGTTCTCCTCCTGATGCAATCGTATCGGTTATTCTTTTGACTTTAATTCTAGGAAGCGGTCATTAAATTCATTTAAATTTGATTCTACAAAACCATAGAAAGCTATAAACTCAATGACAGATCAAAATCATCCGCAAATATTATGGCCACATAGCAATCACGGAAACATACAACATGGGATGGGACAGCCATTACAACAAAATATGAGCACTTTGAAGTTTTGAACCCCTATTGTCATTTCCATTTCCATCCGCATAACGACCAATGGCGCTACAAGTACTTTATCCAAAATATACTAGGCACAAAATCTAACACCTCTATCGCCTCCAAAATAGCTCCGATATAAAAACCCGAAAAGATAAAAAAAAAAAAAAAAAGTCAAGAAAATCCTAGGGAAATATCCTAGGTGGCTGGTTCATCCACAAAACGATCAGAAACGGCCCTCTCAGTGCCTACCCAATTACTTCACCATTGACAAAAAGGAATAGAATTTAATCGCTCTCTGTTTGCGACCAAACTTCAAAAGTTGAGGCGTTCTCAAGCTGAGGCAGACACCTGTGGTACTGTGCTTTTCGCTGCTGCATTAACCGCTACCCCACTAGAACGATTCACACGAGCACCATTGTCAGACCTCTGATATCCATCTCCTCCACGGCCCGATGATCCTCCCCTATTGCTACTCCTACTTCCATAATCAGACTTGAAATCGCCACGACCACCATTGAAATCGCCACGACCATAAGCCCTACCACCTCCATAGCCTCCACGTCCTCTTGGTCCCTCAGTCCTGTACCCGTTCCCATTTCCCCTTCCGGAAAACCGTCCCCTCCCTGCATAAATAAAGGGACGAGCATAAACAATTAGAAACATGAAAGCTAGAAATAGACAAACATAATGTTGAACACAAAATTCAACTCACCTCGAGTTGATCGCTTTTCCTCAACAAAAACTTGGCGTCCACCAATCACGATGGGTGAAGCCTAAAAACACCAACGCAGAAATATTATTAGCACAATAACTCCAAATATACAAGAACATAAAGACTTGTTATATCAAAGGATTAAATATAAACGCATTCAGAATTCACAAGCAAATTTCTTGTGTTATTTGCTGTTCCGTAGGGTTCAAAGAAATACAGCAATAGATATGTTCAAACATCCAAGATAGCGAATCATAAAAAGGATAGTGGGTCAATGTCTGTTAAATACCTCCATCGCACTTTGCACAGAACTTGCAGCCTCAAATTCCACGAAGCCAAAACAGAACCCCTGTTGAAATGATGAAGAGACGTTAAGTATATCATTCACAGAAGGATTGCCAACATCAAACAACAGAGAAACTTGAGTTGATAAATCACAAACCCTTAGGATTCTAACTTGCACACCATTCTTCTTGATCTGTCCAAATTTCTTAAACTCATTCTCAATTACAGTATTTGTACAATCCATTGGCAGACCCTTAATGTAGATAGAGTAACCTTCAGCTGTTCAAAAAAACAAAATTTACAATTGTATCAACTAATGCAAACATACGAGATGTGTAACAGAAAGTACGTCTGCAACAACCTAGCCAAATAAGGCTTTTTTAGCTACTTTAACAAAAAAAATGCAGAAAAATCAAGCTTCAACGAGTTAGCTAAATGACCAGCTATCTTAACTTTGTGAACAGTCACTAGCTAGATTTAGCTAGGAGATAGAGTTAAGTTTTTGCCAAACATTAAAAACTATAAAAGTGTATTGTTTGGGGGCTTCAATAGAAGAAAAAGGGCTTGGGGTGTTAAGTTTAGGAAAAAATAATATTAAAATATTTTAACTTAACCTAAAATGGCTGGTATTGTTGGAAGTGGTGGCTAGCCAAATTAACATTTGGGTCATTGGACTAGCTAAAATAACAAAAACGTAGCAGTATTGTTGGAGATGCTCTAATACAATGAACTTCTCACCTTCGGGCTCTAAATTCCCATTTTCTCTGGCATTGGTGCTGGCTACTGTTTCTGAAACTGGAGCAGATATTGGAGCAGCAGTCACTTGGTGCTCCTGCTTCTTTGGGACAAACCTCATGGGTGCCGGAGTAGAAAATGGGACAGTACCCTCCTTCTTGCTCTTAAGCTGGAACAAGTGGTTTAAGACCCCGGATGAGTATGAACAATAACAAAGAAAGTAGAAAAGTACTCTTTTTGCACAAATTTATTACAAACTAATGAGAAATGTAGTACTACAACCAAAAACACATATATAACAGATGTAAAGATCTAGAAGCATGAGATCTTGCAAAACAGCTGCTTACAATTGAGGCATAAGACTTCTTCGGTGCTTCAACTTTAGAGTTAGATTCAGCTTCAACTTTGGAGTTGAACTCAGCCTCAACTTTGGGGTTGGATTCATCTTCAACTTTTGAGTAAGATTCAGCTTCGACTTTAACCACCAATTGCAAATCATCAGGAATTTCATTGACAACTTCAGGTTCTGGTACTGCTTCCTCTGCAACTGAAACTACTCCATTTTCAGAAGGTTTGATTACTTCCTCCTTGGCAACATCCTCAGACACTGCAATCACAGGCTCTGGGACATGATTGTCCTGCAAAGCAGGAGCATCTGCAAAAAGAGTACTCTCAAACTCAAATAGATTGAACCAAAACTACGCACTTAAAGATTTAAATAAGAATCATTTTAAGCCATACCATGTTTGGGGGTAATAGGAGGTTCAACTTCAACATCAACAACCAATCCATTGTCCTCATTTTCAGGGGTGGAATCTTCAACATATCTAAAGACATCGTTCAAAACAAAGTAGCCTACGTCTTGTGGTGCCAAGAAAAAACTTTGAGTAAATTTCTTCCTTACAAGGTCCTTTCCAGTCAAATACCCAGTGACAAGAACAAATACTCCTCCATTGTAAGATTCCTGAGCATCCACAGTCTTGATATTTGCACTGAGCTCTCCGTAATCAAGTATCTTCTTGTTGATTTCCTGCCCAATAAAATGTAATAAAAAAGAACAAAGGAATCAGATTCTCACCATGTTCAGTGGACAAAATTTAAAGATACCCACAGCATAGGCATCTAGGCCCCAAATACTGTACTTTAGTAACAATTATGAATATGATCTGACGTAAACGCGAAGTTATCTTAAAGGTAGGGTCTTGGAAGGAGCTTACCTCCATGGTGGTTGTAATGCTCATGATCCCACCATCTCCCGGACGACCAAGCTTACTAATATCTTGGTAAAATCGATGAACAAGCTCAGGGGATTGTTCCAAGATATTGTAGTACTGAAGAACAAAGGCATTACCGACCTATATTTAACAAAATGTACCATTCAAAATCAGTTAGCATCCATCAGAATCAATAAGGTAATAATTCATTCACAACTATTCATGTACAACATCAATACGTACAACATCGGCAGTAGGAGTGAGGCTTGCAGCTGGGGCTTGCTGCACCATCGTTGCCATCTCTGATCAACCTCCAGAAACCAAACAAAAACAAAAACATTACATGTAGAACCCTAAAAATTGAACTAGATCTTGAAAACAGAGATACAAAAATTTACCAGCACCAAAAGAATTACACTTTGTTCTTTAAAAAAATACACGTAAAAAAATAAATCAAACATATTTTCCTCAATTTAACTGAAAACATATTAACATATACGTATATATATATATATATATAAATATATTCCTCAATTTAAATACATATTTTCCTAAATAAATATTAAGTGAAATTCAGCTCAAGTTCGTACACTAAAACATTTAAGCAATAAATTAAATTAAATTAAATAAAAAAACTTTGAAGCTCTAATCACTTCACTACCAGCTAAAGCATACGAGTTCAGATTTCTACGAAACAAATGGAGATCTAAAGCGAGCAAACTTCAACAAAAACACAGTTGAAAATGTGAAAAGCGTAATGAAATATGTGAGATTTGAGGGGAGAGAGAGAGCTACCTGAGCGCGGATCGGCGGAAGTGAGGTGAGAGAAGAAGAAAAGGTAGGCGGAGCTCAGCGACTTCTCTCACCTCCTCGGCGGGGTTTGGCGGTTTCTAGGGTTTTGGGCGGATCTCCAAGAGGCGCGAGAGCGTTGGTACAGGAGGGAGAGGGAGAGGAATTGAGAAAAAGGGTTTTCGGGTATTTATATGAGAGTGGGAAATGGAAAATTTTAATTATTTTTTGTTTCTCTTGTATAAATTTATATATTTTTATTATCTAATTTCAATTATATTGGGACTAAGAAATAATAAAAAGATGAGCTTGTACTACGAGTAGTGATATTTCTCTTCACTTGAACGTGAAAGATTTTAGGTTCAATTTTCGCATAATGATAATTTTGGACTAATTATTATTGTTAATTTATTCATAATGTAAATAATATCATTTGTTTAAAAAAATAATTAAATAAAAGTTCAGCTTGTCCTTGAGTGTCCACGACCAAGAACATGTGTTGAAATACCCAACCAAAAAATTTTGAGGACAGAAAATAAAACAAAGGTGGAGTCCTAAGTGCAATTTTTTTAACCTAATCCTCATTGGACAAAAGAAAAGTGAATCATGATTGTGATGATTGTTGTTTTAAGCATACAGACATACAGTAACTCCTTAATTAGGGTACTTTAAATATATAAGGGCATGTTACTTCCTTGAAATTGAAAAGTCATAAGTCGAATGATATACTGTTTAGTCTGTAGGTGATATGATATCTAATTGTTTATATAAAACATATCTAATTTCATTGTCGATTAAAATTTAAAATAATACTAATATCTTGCTTATTCATTTATGATAAATAAATAAATACATCATAAGTATATTTTTTGAGCTTGAGAGATGGAATTCTTCGGTTACGCCAACCAATCTGCTAACTCTTTGAATCGATTGATCAATAAGGTTTATTTTTATTCATTTATTTATTTCATTCTTCAAATCATTTTGATTATCTTAGGATGAAAATTGTTGGCACAAACGGAGCCAATTAAGGCTTACTAGGGCAGATGCTTCCACTCAAATAGTTCGTTTGTTTGGTTGCAGACTACAATTATATAATATTCATGCGTTATTTTTGAAAAAAATAGATGTATCTAATATCCAAAATATGTTCATAATACTTATACTACATATCCAACATTATATGAGCAAAAATGTTGTTGTCCTATTATTTAAACCGGAAAAAAAAAACCCCTCTCTTGCCTATCATGTATTAATATTTTTCTCATCATTTTGCCACTTTCCACTACTATATTGAAATTTTTGTAACATTTGAATTATGATACAACATCATTTGAATTATCCCTATTATCATATAGGTATAAACCATACTACGATAAGGTTTTCTTAATTGTTTTTCGGGTTGCCCCCACTAGAAGAAAATTCTAGCTCCGTCACTGATTGTTGGGGTTAAAGTGTAAATTTTAACAAAATATGTCACTTAATACCATGGTCACTTCTAAGGGAGAGATTTTTGATTCGCGTCTCATTTGATCACAAGTTTCATACCAATTTATTTTCTAACTCTTTTAGTGTAAATATATCATTGTATAAAAAAAATATTAAAGTATTCCAAACTCGAGAGTAGAAAATTAATATCTAAGCATGAAATTTTGGAAGCTAATTACGTTTCACACCTTTCATGTTTTGAGTAATTTTCAAAATGAATTACGAGATATTAATTTTCTCACGTTACTCCTTAAGATTTTAAAATTATATCTAGTTACACATCTTGAGCCCTCGGCAAATCTGCTACTCTATTATTGTGTGAGCCCAAAAACATCAATAGCTGGGGTACCCAATCAATCTATCTTTGGGCCCTCCATCAGTGCCATGTAGCCTCTCTTGAATGTTCGTGTGATAGATGTCATTTTATATTTGTAAAATATTATTAACGCTTTAAAAAAGTTATTTGTGTATCACGAAAAGGTAATCGATATCTTATATATATTTTTTTTTACAGGATTCTGCTAATGAGCCGGCTAATTCTAAAATAAACGACACTCTCACGCTCTCATAATTCCTCCTTGAGTAATAGAAAGAGAGAACCATCCTCGGAGGGTTTGTTTACTTCCTGTTCATCAACTTCCCTGGACAATGCAATCCCAGGCTCGGAGACGTGATACTCCCGCAAGGCAGCACGAATACTCTCCAACTCAAATGCCGCACACAAAAAGTACGGACTTTAACATGAGGAGCATGAGGAGCTTTAACATCAACAACCGATTCTTGTTCATTCCCTCTCCGTTAATAGTTCATAAACACAGACAAATGAATCAGACTCGGACTTTGCCAACTTTCATAAGCTGGAATCTATACTTTACAACTTTAATGCTCTATTGGGTTGATGAGGAAAATCTTGAAAAGAACTAAAACAAGCATGCCTGATCTTAAAAAGGTTAGAATAATGCTACGAAGATTAAATTTTTTAAAATAAATTATGTACCATTAATAAGAAATAAACACGTTAATGGATACTTAATTATTAATCTAATAATCTACAATCATATCATTTAGTTTGTAAATTTAATTTAAAAAGGTTAATCTTCCTAACGCTACTTAAAATGTTAACTTTACGTCAATCACAGTTAGATTAGCAACTTTACACACAAATAATGCAAAAAGTAAGCTTGTCTCGTTAATTTTCCATCAACACCGCCCAAGCCCCCAGTTTCTCTTCATCGCTTTCAGCGTACCCAGCAATTCACATCGACCACAATTAAAAAAAAAAAAGAAGAGAGAACTAGCTAGCAGATTAGAAGAAATGAAAAGGGTCTGTCGATAACTTGATCATCTTTCAGCTCATCATCCAAAAGCAGAAGGGATCACCGTTATGTGCCTCAGCGGCTGCGAAACATCGGTGCCTCCGGCATGCTGCACGAATTCAGCCGGCGAGAATGTGGTTCCATGGCAGACGCATATGATGGTAATCTCCGAATTCGTGTATCTGTACAAGAACCCATGAACCGTTTTCCCATTAGGGCCGGTCCCGGTCGTCGAGACATAAGGCATTTGGGGAAGGGAAACGGTGCTGCTGCCATTTTTGCTGATCTGGGGTTTTGGAGGCTTGGCAATTGGGTCCGTTTTGGTAACGTCCTTCAGTGGAGGGATTGGAGGGGAATATTCTTGTTTAGGTGAGATGGGTTTTGGGGTTGGAGATGCTTCTGCGGTTTCTGATTTCGGTTCTGTTTTTGGATTCAGTTTTTGTTCATTCCCTTCCGAATTGGATTCCAAGGAATTTGAAACCGGCTCTGTGTTTTCTTGTATGCTCTGGCTTGAATGGCTTTTGCTCTCGCTGCTTCCACCACCTAACATACCGTCTTGAGAAGCTGCGCTTTGATGATCTGACACGGTGGAGGAACTACACATTGGTGAAACATTTGACGCCGGTTTCTTACCCAACCCACGATTCACCGGCGCCGTTTTACCCGACCCACTATTCTGCTCCGTCTCACACCCGTTCTTCTTCTTCCCCGTATCCTTATGCGCCTGAAAGGGCCGGAATCCGCCGCCGCCGCTGGGGGCCCAGCACGGCATCACGCAAGGATACGAGAACCCGTTCATGTACGGAACAAACTGGACCGGCGGGTACGGGTACTGACCTGGTTGTTGAACCGGGCAGCGCAGCTCCGTTTGTCCGTTGCTCAGATTCAGATTCACATTCACATTTACATTCGTCTCCGTTCTCTCTTTCTTCACCGCCGGGTGCTCCTCCACTTGGGGATCGTTCTGTCCCCGGCCTTTCTTCTGCTCCCGCTTCCTCTTCGCTTCCTGCCTTCTCAACGCCTGCATCTCCCGTTTCGTATGCGGATCCAGAAGCGCGCTCTCCGGCTCCGACGACTCCAACGGCGACGGAGATGGTGCGTTCGGTTGGGATGGCAGTATTTGGTGCTCATCCTTTCTCGGATCTACGTCGAACCCCTTGGCCAGCTTCGAGTTCTCCGTTTTTCGGAAGCTGCCGCCGATCGACAGCCCCAAATCCAGTTCAACCTCCTCCTCTTTCGATGCCGATTCGGAAACCTTCACCATTTTTACAGAACTCAAACTTCAAACTTCAAGCTTTTTTTTTTTTTTTTTTTTTGCTCTGAAAATCTCTAGGGTTTTTTGGGTTCAGATTTTCTGAGGGAGAGAAAAGGGGGAAGGGGGAAATAGATGGGACGGAAGCGAGAGAGGGGGCCACGTGCGGGAAACACAAGGAAACAGAGACGGTGGGTTGACACGTAGGATATTTTGGATATATTTAGTGAATAGGATTAGCCACTAATCCTGATTTAGTGCTAAAATTAATCATGTTTTGCTTGTTAATACGTTAATTTAGCGGAAAACAAACCCTTCTCAAGTGTAATGGGAGCTACGGCGCACGCTCGAAGGTTCGGAGGGGCCACGTGGCATACCTGCATGAAGAGATTGAGACGGACACGTGTAAGCCCCTGGCTCCCGTGAAACTAACAACGGATAGCCTATAATCTGTCAGCCTGGCAGTGGGGTACGGACGCGCGGAGCGAGGTTTCGCTGTTACTCGCAAATCTCAACCGTCCCTTTCACTCCACGAATCCCAAGAAGGAAAAGTCTGCGTGGCAGGTTTCTTCGTTGACACATGTCGTCGGGGGGGCGTGTCAGTCTGGATGCCGTGTCCTCTGGAGCAACGGATTCAGAGGTTAAACGTGGCGCGCATGGTGAGTGGCGCAGCTCAGCAAGGTCAAGTTGGTCTACACATTTCACGGAGAGTGACGTTGACGTGTCGAGGCTGTTCACGTACGATGATGCTAACACGTGGGGGAAGATGAATGGTTGGGGTCGGTTGTCTACGTATGGCAGTGGACACGTGGTGGTGTCTCGGGAGGTGAGTTAGTTTCGAAAAGGGGAGGGTAGGGAATGTGGCGCATAGACCTGGTTTGAAATGCGTACGACTGATGCATGGTTGCCACGTGTCGATTAATGGGGAAATCTTAAGTTGCGCCGTGGCCCAATCTAATTTGTTTGCTTTTTATATTCTGGCAGACCAAATAGTTTCTGTCACGTGTAAAGTGTAATATTAGAAAAATTAACTATTTTAATTAAATTTTGTGATTTAAATGTTGATTAATATTTTTGTTTGCTATTAGTAATATATCATATAATTTACAAATTTAGTTTAAAAGTTGGTCTACATATTACTAGTTACTTGAGAAAATTCGATAGGTATGAAATAGGTGTTTGAATTGAGCTTCATTATGTGCTTAAGCAATTTTGTTTATACATTTTGGACCTAACCAATTTCTTACCACTAACGCATGACGGGTACACATCTCGGCAACATTCAGATGTATGTAAGCAACTTACCCTATCAACTTATCCTATCAACGCGTATGTGAGTTATCTGTAAGGCCCTGTTTGGCAGATCGAATAAAGGATCAGATATGATTAGTTATACGGACTCGGGTGTTTGGCGTTCACTCGTACTAAATAAACGCCGGATTAATTTAACCGGTCGGATAGGATAACACGATATACACCCGCTTAATAAAACCAACCAAAACGCCCGGATTATTTAGTCGATAAAGAAGAATATGGGAGAGAAAGGGAGGGAGTTTGGGGGGTGTGGCGGAGAGAGCTGGGGAACAATTATTTGGGATTCTTCTGCAGTCGGGGAAGAAGAAGGGAGAGAGAGGGAGGGTGTTTGGGGGGGTGCGGAGAGATCTGAGAACAAAAAAATGATTTCACTTTTTTAAAATTTTTTTTTTAAGTGATTCCTCCTATCTAGTATAATACCAAACACAGTATAAATAATACGGTCACTAGTCCGATACTGCATCAAACACCCAACTAATTTAGTCAGTACTATCCGGTGGCTATTTATCCTATCCGACAGAAATAGTCAGTACAGTCCGAGCTGCCAAACGAGGCCTAAATGTCTATGCAATATGCATGTGAGGTTTAGATATCATCAATGGTCAAATGTGTGAGCAATTGATCTTAGCTAAATTCATAGGTATTTATATTGTGGGGCTAATGTAGTTACGATTGTCAATTGCTAACACGCATATGTGATATAGAGTTCACGTCTCGAAAGTAGTAATCATGTCTTACGACTACATCCAAAAGTAAAAACAAAGGAGAAAGAAAAAGATACCATTACACGTAGTTTGATTTCTTCATTCGCTTCCTCATGTCACATGATATTTTTATAGTCATCCGAAAACGGCCCCCTAGCTCTACACCGGAGGCATCCTCATTATCAGCTGCCCTTCCATTTTACTGCAAACACACACAGTCATTGTTAAAGGGTTACGCGAACTTGGGAATCGGTTGGTAATAAGAGTGTAACCCAAGGTACGCAGTTCATAAGATATTCTTGCATGCGACCTTTGTATACAAGACTCCGCTAACAAAATTGATCACATTATTCTGAGGGGTTGAACGTCAGAGAGGTCGAATAGGAGATGATGTTTTCCGCAGCTTACCTCTTTATGTAGTAGTAACAAAAGTCAGCTAAGATGAATGTTTGAACCATCTCAGAAAGGAAAGCTGCCAAAATCCAGAAATATCCACTCCCGACTAAAAATATATATCTCCCTCTAGTCTCGTAGATCTGGAAGAGAATGGCAAAGTATTAGCCTGATACACATTACGTTATGTATGTACTGTTATTCTAACCTAACAAGTCATGCCCAACCCGAATAATCCAATGAGCGCACGCCAAGAACCTCGAAATGCCCAGTGCAAATACGTAATGGGAGGTAAATGGTTCGATCATCTGAAAGCAAATCATCATCAGAAGACAACAAAGATCAACAAATCTTGTAAATGAGTGGTAAAGAGCTTCAATCTCAAGTAATCTGAACCTTTGCATTCTTCATTAAACGGAGTTGAGGCAGTACTGAAACGGCTTCCATGTATCCACCAAATGCCCATAGGATTCGACCGATGGGGTTATATAGTGTATATGGGTGGACAAGCACTCCGAGGATAGCAGCAGGCACCACCTGCAATTCAAATGAAATTACGTACGTTGCGGTTTTTGTGGTAAAATAATAATCATGCACCTTTTCCAAAGTTACAATGTAAATTCCAACTTCTGTACTTCAAAGTTCAAGCAGAGCAAACACTTACATTCAAGATCATAACACATTGTCAGTGAGGGGAATTAACTATGAACAATGGATCGAGGGTGGCCGGATTTAAAGCAACCCATGCATATGGAAGCAGCTTCAATCTTCTCAAATCGGAAGCCTAATTTTCTTTTTCTACGTACGGTTTGTAAGGAGATGTCATTTGGTTTTATTACAAAGATTCCAAAATACGCTAGGCGCTAGTCGGGCGGCTAGGCAGACTAAACGGATTTAAGTAAATCTATTATATTTTATGTAAATAAGTGTCAGTTTATACTTAAAATATATATAATTTCATCATAAACTACAAAATAGAATGACATATATATTATGAAGTATTGGAACATAATGAAAAATGGGGAACAATGATATAATGTGTGTTCATTTAAGTATACAACAATGCAAAATGAAGGTTATCTATTTTTTGTCTAAGTGAGTCACGATCTGACAGGTCTGGTCAGGCTAGGCAGTCTAGGCAGGTGCCTCAGCAGGTCTAGGCGTGCTTTCTTAATTTTCAAACGCTTAGGCATTAATCGGAACGGTGGCAGCCATCTGGGCAGGAATTTTTAGAATAGTGCAAAGCGCAATGGCAAAGATCATGCCAGAGAGATGCTTAGTGGGGAAAAGGAAGTACAAATAACAAGCAATTTTCAACGTTTACATCCATTTAGTCTCGCTCGAAATTTTTTAATCTCTAATGAAGCTCTATAGAGGCTGGTGCATATGTTTGCTTGTTAATAGCGACAGTCTTTCAATATTGTCTATGCATGCGGTGCGGATGAATCAACATTAGAAACATACGCACATGTACGTACATGTGTGTGTGTGTGTGTGTATGTGTGTGTGTGTGTGCATTTTCTCTTAAAACTATACTAATATGCGGATATGCATACACAAAGACTTAAGCCAAAGGGAGCAGATTAAAGATTTACCACAAAATATAAGCGAAAATTGTCGAGTTCCTTGATGTAGGTTGACTTCAATTTAAACCGTATCATGTATATGACCCACGCTGTTGACACGAGAGTAGACAAATCGAGCACAGTATGAATGTCCACCTCCATCATGGTGCCACAAAATAATCTTACTGCTAGAAAGAGAGCTGTGAGTTCCTGAGTCTTCAGGGAAAGACCTGAGCATGTAATAGAAACCAACTGATTAACAAAAAACTTATTTGAAAGTATTATGTACTAAAGCTGATAATTATCAAATGTATTACTCCGAAATTACGAAGATATAGCAACTAATATTGATTAAACTTGAATTTAACTACCTGATCAAATGAGAGGTCAGATTAAACTTGAATTTTACTACCGGACATCAGATTAGAGGTCAGATTGTACTGCAAAATCATAAGCCGTACTTCCTTTCGATTTATTTACCACAATAACGATTAAGATTGACACTTCAAAAACGTCATCATGCACTTCAATTTTATTAAACATTGACAAAATTTGTATAGAAAAGAGTACATGATGACAATCCTAGAGTGCTGATAACATCATCCCAACGGCTTTATAAAATTACAGAGTTCATTAATTTTGTAATTGGTCAATTTTCTGTAATCCCCTCTTTTTCTTGGACCTGTTTCAACAGAAGTTCATCCCTAAGCATAATCAACTAAAATACCGAGTCCCCAACTGATCCTAAATGATTATTTTATCAAAACTATAAATTATACCCTCTTCATAAACTGCACCCATTTTGTCATGAGTCTCATGGCTTCACAATAATATAGGGCCACTGTCAAATGTCAAGCCCCGCCCCAAAATCTCAAGGTATGTGTCTCTGTCACATGCTTGGGATTTCAGGGCGTGACACCATAACCTTACGCTCTTAACAGGGCTTAACGTGTTACTGTTGAGAGTGAATTCCACATCTACATCAGAGAATTGACGGATCTTACATGTGCTTATAAGTAATTGAGTTACTCCATATATTGCAAATTGATTTTTTTTTTTTTTTCTGTACAGTGGAACCTCAAATATCTTTAGTTACGCGTTACGCCCACATTATGAGGCATACGACTCTAGTGACATTAAAAATTGGATACAAAACCCAACCGATTCCAAACCAGCAGAAATCATGACAAATCAAATTAATAAAACCCAAGAAATCAAATATTATCCCAATTAAAAAAAAAATTGTAAAGGAATAGGAAGGACATAGATACCGGAGCAAGTCTTCTGCGTAGTGAGCTTGTAAATGAGGACGACGATCCCGGCGACATGCACGGCTTCAGAGGCAATGACAAAGTAGTTATGATTCTTCACCCAAAACCTCAGTGCCACCAAAGCACACAATGCCAGCAGGCTACCCAGAAAAACCTTGACTTTCATTGACTGCCTCCTCACCCATTGAAACAGCACGTTCACCGGCGAGCTCCTCCTCCTCCCCATCGTAAATCGGGTGGGATTTCCGCACGCCCGATCGATTCCTTATAGAGAAAGAAGAGAAATCGGCAGGTACAAAAAGACACAGAATTTATGTTGCGGTTTTTTGTGCGTGGTGTTGGAGGTAAAGAGTGTGATCGTTTTGAAGGGGGATTGGGCATGCAATTGGAGGACCAACGAGGAATGGACACGTGGAATATACGTTTTTGCGAAGGCAGAATTTAGGTTGGATCCCAAATTTAGTGGCTTGCCTTTTGGGGGCTATGGATTTGGGTATTAAATCCTTGTAAACTTAAAAACTTATTTTTTTCTTTTCTCTCCCTTCTTTCATCTCACTCCAAATCTATCTCTTTTTTTTTCTTTCTCTTTCCTCATTTTTTTTTTTTACACATTTTTCGTCTCTCATCCAATCCACTCTTTTCATTCTCTCTCACTCATATTCCTCTATATCTTGTCCGATCTTCTCTCTTCTTTCTCTTTCTTTTAATCATCTCTTACTTTCTTTCCTCCTTTCTCCTCTTTCTCCATCTCATGCAATCCCGTCATTTTAGATCTCTTTGTCTAGTTTAAGTCGTAAAATATAAAAATTTTAAATCGTAAACCAATCAAGTTTTTGAGTCGCAAAGAAAATTGTTTTCAATAAATGTTCTTAAAAAATGTTTTGAAAAATAATAAAAAATTTCAAATAGGATACCAAACAGGCCCTTAGGTTTTTAGAGAATTTATTTATTTATTTTTAACAAATGATATTATTAACACTAAAAAGGTGGGGGTGAATTTAGTCTCATAATGGACTAGCAATAAAATGGTTCAAATTCGCCTTATCTATTTGTTCTCAGGCTAAACACTTCTTCCTACCAGGGGAAGAAACTGAAGTTGTCTTCAATTCCAACAGCCTTCCCCAATTCGTGTTTCTGGAACTCGAATTGTTGGAAAATTTGGAAGAGTTGGAAGTTGAAGATGATGCAATTCCAAAGCTTAGTATTTTCAAATTGTCAACTGCAAACGGTTAAGGAGGCTTCCCATCCAAAATTGAGTTCCATGAGACAAACCGGAGAAAATTTTGCGGTTTAAAGAGTAAAGTAATGGTTTTTTTAATTACAAGAACAAAGCTAGAATAAAATCTAATTTGAAAGCCATAGTTAAAAGTAAGCATTAATAAAAAAGACACATATCATTGCCTTATTATACATAATATTAATCATATTACCCACGCTCACACGTATGTGTGATAGAATTTAGCCTCCTTTTGATTTTCTCACTTGGACAAAACCAATCTTTATCCGAGTCCAAAACGGCATACCAGCAATTTTAGAATAAAGCCAACAAAAAACCTAATTTTTGGACTATAGTGCAAAATCCCTAATCATCATGTATACCTAGATACAATTATTTCTATACCCGTCAATTTCCTATAATTATAAAGTAGCCCTATAAAGTATACCCCATATATATTTAGCTCCCGCTGCTAGATGGATCCAACGGTCCAAAATCAACCCTCCATAGAAGTGCTAGGAGTTCCCACAGCCATCCACCATTTCTCTCCGTTCCACGTGGAAGCAGGAGAGGCACACCGCCTCTGCTGATCATCACCGTTTCTTGCAGTTTCGTCCACCTCCACCTCCTCCTCCTTCACCATCTGCGCATTAATTTCCACACAAAATAATGTAATTAGTTTAATTTAATTAGATAATTAGGGCTGAGGAAATGATCAATTAAGAAGGAGAAGGGGGTGAGAGACGTACACGTGGCAGAAGATGGTGATGTCTTCTGTGGTAGGTGGTGAGGGTAGTGATAGCTTCACAGCTGGTTTGGGGATTAGGGTTAGGGTTTGGTGCTGTTGTTGCAGGGAGCTCGTTGAGGTTTATGAGTAGGGTTTTACTGATGGTGACGGTAGTGGAACTCTGGGTCTCTGGGGCCAGGACAGGTGGAGGAGCGACAATAGGAGTTGAAGAGGGTATTGTGGTCACATTGCACAATGTGGTGGTGGTCACTGGGCGCCGCTCAGCCACCGGCTTCACAGGGGGAGTGGTGGGGCTGATGAGGGGGCGGGGGGCGGAGGAGGAGGATGAGGGTGGGGTGGGGACCACAAAGAGGTCATGTGGTGGGGCCAGAATCTGGGAAGAAGGACTAGGAATGTTGGTGGGGCTGCCCATGTCTGGCCAAAGAAACGTGCCTTGCGGCTTGCATACCCTGAACCCACTCCTCAGCCTTTCTATTTTTGCCGCCTTGCACTCCGCCGCCGCAGCCGCCTTGTCTCCGCCGGTTAGTTTATCTTCTTCTTTCTTCTCACCGGCTGGTTTTGCTTCCGATGGTGGTGGTGCTCCTGAAATTGTGACTGCATCTTCCTTGCCTGATTCGAACATCCTGATTTTCTCCTGCATTAACATTTAAACCTCCACCAATCAATGCATTCATTAAACGCAATTGAGGCAGACATAATTAAGATAATTAGGGGGTCAATTAATTACCTTAATTCCGGACAAAGATTGAGTAACCTCCATCATTTGTTCTTCTTTTTTGGTCACAAACTCCATCCTTTCTTCATCCATCTTAGCTATCTTCTTCTCTAGCTCTGCACAGGCCTCCTGCAAAAATGATAAAACCCTATCAAGCATTAAGTACAGAACTTAATCAAGATTAAGAAAATATAATCAAACTTAATCATGAACAAAGTCCCAACCTTAATCTGGATTAATGAAGCGTCACGATCCAAGTGAACACCGGTCAGATTAGAATTTGAAGCGGTCACCATAGCCAAACCAGTATTCCCTTGCTGCATGGACTCCTTCATCTCCCTGTAAAAATCCAGAGTGTCACGAACAGTTAAGAGACTAAATACCATAATTAAGAGACTAAAAACGTGTTTAACTACCTTCTAATCTTGTCAATTTCTTCACGGAGCTTCTTAATCTCTCTTGCACAAGTGGGGTCCTGGGTGGGACTATCGCCGGGCTTCCACCCCGGCGGAGGGGTCCAGTAAGGATCTTGAACCCCAGCCTCCTTCCGGATGTGGACCAGATCAGCACTCTCCAGCCAATACTCCATGGCCCCATCGGCGTTGTGCCGCCGCCTAAATCTCTCCGTCCCACCGGGCGCCACCTTGCCCGCCATGTGTTTGAGTAAATGATCCAGTAACCCCGTGTCTCCAATCAGCCTCCGAGCCTCCGCTCTCAGCGCCGGCCGCCGTATTGGGTTCCCAATCGCCGCCCCTTTCTCCTTCATCACCTTCAACATGTTCTCCTCCGCCAGCTTGTACCTGCAAAAAACCCAAATGAAGTCAAGAACCCACGATTATTAAACCCAAAAATCGACCCAGTTAATATAATTAACAGATTATTAAACCCAATTAATGATATTACTGTATTGATCTCATTCTCACCTTCCTGCTGACCATCTTGCTACTGTGTGTTTAACTTTAGCCAATTTTCTGCTGCTGCGATCAGGAACTGCTACAATACGGTTATTCTGATTCGGAGGCTTTGATCGCTTTTGGGTTGGAGATTTGATTTTTCTCTCATTATCGGGACGCTTCCGCTTCCGACACCGGAGGTTCATCTTCCATGGCAGAACATGAGGAGCAGCTTCTTCCTCTATCTCCTCACCTTCTTCTTCTTCTTCTTCAATGTCATCGTCTTCGTCTATCACAGTTACTACTTTCTCAGTGAAACCAGCATCGCTATCTTCCTCCAGCTCCATTACCTCCTTTCCCTTCTCCGTTTCTTTATCGTCAGAGCCAGAGCTCGGCGACGACTCGTGCCTCCGGAGGTAGCGAATCTGCCGGCGCTTGCCCCACTTCACCATTCCGGCAAACGTGAGCTCGGACCAACACGGACCCTTTTTAGGAACCACGCTGCTAGTAATGGCTCCGCCTCCGCCACTTACTGCTGGGCTCGACAACGTGCTTCTCGGGTGACTCTTCAACGGAGGTTGAACGGCCCAGAAGCTCCAAATGTTGCTCCGATCTACCATCTCCTGAGGGGGGATTCTCCGGTAAAGCACCTCCGACGCCATTTCCGGGGACATCACATACTTCTCATTCAGCGCCGGAATCTGCTTGGCGTCTGGTTTTGGATACCCATTTGCGGAGATATGAGCGTGGAGAGAGTGAAGGCTCGGAAACCTCACCGCCACTTTAAACGCTCCCTTCGCACTCACCTGTATACATATCAAACGACCCGAAATAAAAAACCCCATTTGATTGAAACCAACAAAAAAATAAAAATAAAAAACTGAAACATATAAACCAGATTCAAGAACAATGGCGAAAATTATCAGTAGGTTTTATGGCTAATGAAAATATGAAATAGTACCATGACGATCCGTACGGCCCTGAGCTGCTCTGGTACTGTTCTTCCATGGAGCTTGGATTGGTCCATTTGGTAGAAACAGCCGACTTTAATGTGCTCGATAGTATCTGCAAAATACACAAAAGAAACCATCACATCAGGAAAAAAAAATGAAAACGAAACGGTAAAGAGATGAAGACAATGTGTTCGATGAAAGTACGTACCGAGCGAAGAAACGGGGGAGGAAGAAGGAGAAGCAGAAGCAGAGGAGGGCAGCGCATGTGTGGCCAAAAAAGTGCTTTTGCATTCTGGCCTTTTTTGGACTTGCTTCTTCTCCACGTACTTGCTCATCCTCTCCAAGAAAATCGAAGGAAAAGCTCACTCTTTTCACACTCCCACAGAGAAATCACCACTCAGTTAAAAACCCAAGCTTCCACCAAAAGCTCACACTTTCACCGCAGTGGATATTTATAAAGCCTGCGGGATGCAGACCGATTTACCCAAGCAACCTTCTAGAATTTACGGCTGGGTAAATTCGATTCTGCATTATTCGGACGTTCATGCGGGTTTGTTTGTCTGCAATCTCATAAATACAGAGATCGCTGCGGACACTCGACGTCGTTTTGCCTCTGCTGAGCTTTGCGTTCTGCTGCATGAACCCGATAATCTCGCGGGCGGCGGCTTCTTCACGCGCGTTTGTCTTGGCGCGTGGGAGAC